TGAGCAAAGAATGGCAGCAAGAGGTAAAACTTCAGAAGGAGAAGGCAACCAATCTTTGGAGGTAAGTGAAACTCGATGAGTCCTTTGAGGTGAAACTGAACAAGTCACTATGATTATGTATTTCTCTGAGGATCAGTAGTAACTTCTACTCTCTTGATGTGCAGACAGGTGCCTAGATACCAAGAAACAGGTGATCTGTAGACAGTCAGGGGATGGCAGTACTGGGAGTGACTTCCCAGTGCTAAGCTTTTCCTTGTGCTGGAAATGGAGACTTTCTGTTGAAAGAGGAATAGAGCACTTGAGACAAAACACTTGAACTATTTTTAATTGAGCAATTATTTTCTAATACATTTGAATAATAGATAGTATATGAACCTATAGAGAAAGGTTTGAAAATAATGTCTTCAGAACTATATTACATTACTATTTCCAGCACCAAAGTGCACGCCTTGGTATTGTTCAACATAAAGACTTGGGTATTTGTTCTCTTCCACATGAGAAAACTATTTGTTCCTTGAGGAACTGGAAAATGTCATTATCGGGCCGCCCTGGTGGCACGGTGGTGAAGTGCGTGCGCTCTGCTTTGGCGGCCCAGGGTTCGCAGGTTCAGATCCTGGGCGTGCACCGACGCACCGCTTGTCAAGCCATGCTGTGGCAGCGTCCCATATAAAGTAGAGGAAGATGGGCACGGATGTTAGCCCAGGGCCAATCTTCCTCAGCAAAAAAGAGGAGGATTGGCATCGGATGTTAGCTCAGGGCTGATCTTCCTCACCAAAAAAAAAAAAAAAAGAAAATGTCATTGGGATACTTTTGTATACTATGTAGAAACATACTAACATTATTCAGTCACTGAAATAATCATTTTTCAGATTTAGGGGGAATGTTCATTGTTATGGTGGAAGGGCTATCCATGAATTTTGAAACTTTCTACGTGGTGACACACCTTTACTTATATTCTGCTTGTAGCACGTGAGGATATTGCTGCATACAACTAGAGTGAGGTCAGGGCCCTGGCCGTTTGGTTCATCACCATATCCCCAAAGCCTAGCACAGTGTAGGCAGTCAAAAAGATTTGTCAAAGAGTGAATGGATACAAAGAGAGTAATATTTAAAGAAGAGAGATTTTTATTTTTTTATATTCAGATTTTCCACAGTCAGCAAATATTTTATAATAAAGAAAAAAACTTATTAAAAGAAGTGAGAGGAAGTAAATTAATGTAGAGAAAAAAAGAGTCATCTTTCTCATAAAACTCGTGCATGCAACAAATATTCATTAAGCACTGACTGTGTTCAAGTTACTGTGCAAGGAGCTGAGTATACAGTAGTGAAGAAAAACAGATACACGGACAAAGAAAAATGTCCAGACTCTATGCTGAATCAACGTGATCTCTTTCATTTATTCAAACATTTAGCGACTGCTGACCATAAGTAGCATCTTTGATAGAAAATAAAGGTTGATGTATTTGAGGTTTGGGAAAGAACCACCAGGATGGTTTAGAAATCATCCATGATTACTTCAGTTTAATTGCTTAGATATATGATTCATTGGAAATGTTTATGGACCTCATTAATGACTATGCAAATAATGTTGAAATATTATTTATAATGAGAACATATTTGGTAAATTAGTATGGGTTCAATAAGCTTAAAAATAACACTCTTAGTTGCCGAAATATAACTCACTTTTCTAAGACCCTTTGGAGAAGGTGGCTTTTAATATACCAAAATAGGTTTTTTGGTGAATTCAGACAAATGTATCGATTGCCTACTATTTTCAAGGAATTGTTGGATATAGGGTGGAGAGGATATAAAGATATGTAAGACTCCGTGATTACAGAAGCATAAATTCTCAATCCATTCATGGAAAAGTAGAAAACTCCCCAAGTCACTCTAATATAAAGTGGAATAAATATATAAGTTCCTTAAACTCCATAACTACAAAGATCACTGAGATTTCAATGGTGGAAGAAATATCATTAGGGAGAGTGAAGAAAGCCTTCATGCATTAAGTGAGTTTTGAACCATAAAAAATTTTTTTTTTTTTTGGTGAGGAAGATCAGCCCTGAGCTAACATCCATGCTAATCCTCCTCTTTTTGCTGAGGAAGACCAGCTCTGAGCTAACTTCTATTGCCAATCCTCCTCCTTTTTTTCTCCCCCAAAGCCCCAGTAGATAGTTGTGTGTCATAGTTGCACATCCTTCTAGTTGCCGTATGTGGGACGCGGCCTCAGTGTGGCCGGAGAAGCGGTGTGTCGGTGCGCGCCCGGCATCCGAACCCGGGCCGCCAGTAGCGGAGCACGCGCACTTAACCGCTAAGCCACAGGGCCGGCCCCATAAAAAAATTTTTTCTTACTATTTATACAATTAATTTTTACATGATTAAGATAAATTCCTGTGAAATGAAATCCTTCATTAAGAACATTTTAGAAATACAGAAGTAAATCATGGTGTGAAACTACTTTCTACACATGAATCTCAATGACATAATAAAGGGTTAAAAAATGAATGTAACTTGGCCTGTACTACACTGTAGTTTTAATGGCAGTTAAAATATTTTGTTAAGTAGTCTGTGATATTTTTCCTTACACTTTATAGCCCAAGTGTACTTCAAAGCTGTGCTCCCTCTCCAAGTACAGCTCTCTCACTAACAGCATGGAAATTCTAACATCTAAATGAAATATAATTTGAAAAAAAGAGATCTGGTTTGGGCATCAAATAAGTTAATTTTTACAGAGATATTTTAATATTTTAATGAGATATTTTAATACATTTACACAAAAGACTCTATGAAAAGCAGCATATTTATTTGCATTAAGTAAATAGTGGGACTTTTTACTTGGTGAAACTGAAAATAATATAGCATTCATTCCAGAAAATCATAATTTCTCAGTGTGTTTGTCTCTTCTTCACTCCTCCTCCCTAAATATTCTGGGTTTCTCTCAATGATGACTTTAGTTAGTTACTGCTGTTTCTACCTTAGCATTCCCTATATATGATCCCAAAGTGTCATCACCTCAAATAGGATAACTTAAGGAAACATTGAACTATGTAGTCATCAAATGTGGTTTCCTCTCTCTCTCTCTCTCTCTCTCTCTCTTTTTTTTTTTTTTTGAGGAAGATTGGCCCTGAGCTAACATCTGCCAATCTTCCTTTTTTTTGTTGTTGTTGAGGAAGACTGGCCCTGGGCTACCATCCGTGCCCATCTTCCTCCACTTTATATGGGACGCCACCACAGCATGGCTTGACAAGCGGTGCATCGGTGTGCACCCAGGATCCGAACCCGAGAACCCCGGGCCGCCGAAGCGGAGCTCTCGCACTTAACCGCTTGCGCCACTGGACCGGCCCCTGGTTTCTCTTAAGTTGTGCTTTAGTGTGTGTTTTAAGAGCCATTGGTAACTTTTGACAGAATTCCTCATGTTTTTGGTGTGTAGAGTATGAGCTCCTATAAATGTTTGGGCTTATTAAAATTAAAGTCATTAGACTCTAGTACTTGGGGAAAAAGTTATAATTTGGAACTAATTATCCAATTGGAAGATTATCCACCTCCTTCTGTTCCTTCTTTTTTTCTTGTTGCATTTCTGGGTAAATTTTGGTAGTGAGTTGTAATGACTTTGCGGCTACTTATTGTCTCCTGCTAGTCTGGGAGCCTGTTACACCTCAGGGAGATAAACCCACAGATTCATGGGGGGCCGGTTTTGAGTTTTTGCCATTATGACTCATCTCTTCAGGTAATAAACATTACAAGCAAGTAATTAGTCATTCTTTTCTAATCTGCAGTCCTGGAAAGTGTTTTATCTTGTGAAGATTGGAACCATCTTAGCTACAAATTTATGAGTGGACCTATTGTTCTTTTTGTAGGTATATTTTGAGAGCTATGAATATGTAAATTTCATTTTTTTTAATACAATTGTAACTATTTTGGTGACTGACTATTGCTTTTAGACTAAGTGTTTGTTGAACTTAAATTTCCTTTATTTGTACTACAAAAATTATTTTTTAATTTGCATTTATTTTTGGTCTCCAAGATTGAGGAATGTTTATTTATTTAGTTCACTGGCCTAAAGATAACAAAATTCAAAAACAAGCTAGTAAAACCCTCCCCACAAAACCACAGTTCCATTTGTGTATTTATTTGTCTTGAGTGACAACTAATTCACATATGCATATGGAGACATATAAAATAATAACTAACAGATGGTATAGCTGCAAAGTAGGATTTATAAAGATTATCATCAGCTGGTGATATTGAGATACTACTGTGGTTATACTGACAGAAGACACAAAAATTATTTATAATAATAAGCTGTGACACTAATATCCCCCCAACTTCTGTTAACCAAAGTAGCTTATTGCATATTTAATGTAAATTTATTAAGGAAGACCTAAAACAATCTTACAGCCAATTTGTACTAGGAAATTTATTAGGCAGCAATTGCAAAAACAGTAACTAAGGTAGAAGCAACAACAACAAAATGTTTGCTAAAATTGTTAATATTGCTTGCATAATATTAGAATCCCTGGAAAGTAAAGTAAGTATTTGGGGGACTTTGTTTATTCAGGGCATTTCATTTCAATTACACTTTTCAATCTATTATACAGTATTTGTAAATTTTTGTGTATTTTTAAATAGCTGAGTTACATGTGGAATTCGTAGTTCAGTAATTTAGGGAACAAAAGGTGATTTTTGGAAAAAGGTATGGAATGCACATATTAATGAAACATGTTCATTCTTCTTCTAATGTGTTTTCATACTTCCCTTAGGTCTTTTAACAGAGCCAAAGGAGCTTTCAGACACTGTAGGCACTAATTTCCTTGTTGCTTTTATTTTAGATCATCATTACAATGAAAGAAAATATCCTTGAGCTTTGTGAATTCTATATGACATAGACTTTGGTTACCACTCCTTAAAAAGGGAAATAAGATTATGCCATTACTGAGTTCTGTGTAGAAAAGAATTGGGGTTGTGTGGTATAGGAAAAAGGTGACTGGAGAGAGTGATTCTCAAAAATAGTTTCAAGAACAGCCAACATTCACGTACTGGATGCCAGGATTTTCGGTTTTA